GCACCTGACTTTGGAATATGTGAACTCAGGCAATACAAATATTTCTGGTACTACAGAAGTGACAAAAAACAAATGCAATTATGACCCTAGGGGCTGAGTGATCTTAGTTTTCTGATCATAACATCATGTGGTTCTAGTTTTATTAAACATAAAATAAGGTCTTTATGTGTTCACTAATGTCTCATTGTGACAGGTAGCAGACATAAGCTAAATATAACAAAGCACCAAATTAATGATACTGAGAATGCACTAGAAAAGTATAGAACAAACTTATTTGGTCAATCCACACCTTAACTGCACAGATTTGATAGCATAAGGGATGAAAAAAATGAAACTAGTATTTTTTAACCTTATCCTATTCCTCTGTGGACTATAGACCAGTAAGATTTCTAAAAGCTTTGCATTTTAACAGACAAAACCTTGGAATTCCAGGGCCATCCTAAAGCTCACAACCTGAGAAAAGTTACCAAAAAGAAAAAATACTATGTTTAGTTTTTTGTTTAATCAATGAAATGTTCTTTTTTTCCCCAAATGAAAGCTGATTAAACTACATGCATTCAGAAATGCCAGCAGCCACATAATAATGTAAGTATCACCACCTCTATATTCTATGAGCTAGTCTGCATTGTGCTGTATTAAGTAAACTCTGCTCAGAGTTCAAAAATTATCAAGTTTTTTTTTTTTTGTTTGACAAATCCAAATGGACAAAAATACCTAATATATTAATAATCCTGGCTAAAAGTAATGATAAAATAAGCTTAACACAGTGTGCTGACTTTCAGCTTTTTTTTTTTAATAGAGGCATGTTTTATTTATTTATTTGTTTGTTTGTTTGTTTTTGTTTATACATGCACTGGGTACAGTCAGAAGCGCAGGAGGGTGGGAGAATTCACCAGAGCCAGAGCAGGGAGCAGAGCAGGCAGAAGGACCGAGGTACACTGCTGAGGGGAGCAGCGGGCGGCAGGAGAGGTCTGCACGCCATGTGGGACCCTCCTCCGGTGGCAGGGGAGCAGCTGGGGATCGAACCGGTGCTGCAGAGGCTGCGGGCAGCTTCACAACCCAGCGCTCAACCGCTGGGCCACCGGGGAGGCCCTGACTTTCAGCTTAATTCAACAGGTGACAGGTGTCTTTACAAAGAACTATAATTTCGCCAAAGCAGTCAATCCGGAGAAAGCATTTATCCATTGCTGGCGCATGTTTTGCTCCCTACTAAAAAACATGTAATCCTTTTAAACTTGTTCTGAAGAACTTTGATGAGTAGACAGTCCTCATATTTACAGGGAAATGCTTCTAAAGCACAGCATCGCCAAGTTTACATAATGACAATCTTGAGGGGAGATGAGCCAGGAGGCTCCCTATTTTGTTTCACTTGGCACATAGCTTCCTTTTCAATCTCCTATTTTCCTCTTCCCATCAGATAAGGAAGAAGGAAGGGGAAATAAGTTTAACTTCTCCTGAATGCACCAGAGCCCTTACTGAAAAAAGAAACCTATGCCAAGCTCAGGTTCTCAGACTTTCAGTTCACATTTATCAATGGAGAACTTCCTCACAGAAACGTTTATGTCTTCTAGCCGTGGCACTCACGCTGCTAACATCCGATTTAACTGTGTCAGCTGCAGAATGACATGCAAATTAAAGTCCACAGACTCGCCCTGTTTCATGTGTCAAAGTAAAGGCACTGAATGAGAAAAGGGGGACACTGAGACTTGGGATGGGGATAGCTGGTATATTCGGCTGAAGATGAGAACCTGAATCCCAAAGCTACTCTGAGCCTCCCTTGCCTGTGGAAATAGAAATAGCCTGCTCTCTTATGTCCGAAGAGATTAGCTTTCTCTGACTTGAAGACCCGATAATAACCTCATCATAACTGTACCCTTTCCTTGCAGGAGAATTCCTCTTCTCCAGATCCAGCTGGACCGTCCCTTACTGCTACTGATAACGGGGCTAGGGGGCAGTATTCTCAGGGGAACAGAACAAGGGCTAGTCTACAAAGGAATAACCTACATACACAGAAATAATTGCAAAGTTTGGCTAATCTGTATTAGTAGAAACCCAGAAAATCTGTGTGAAAATGGATTCTAAAGTGTTAAAAGAAGAGAAAAAGAACGTAACACCAACTGGGCCAACTTTTTTTGTATGAGTCACTGACCAGAGATTTGGGATATAATGGATAGCTTATATAGCTGAAAGAAGCTCTAAGAATTAACTTGGTTGGCTGCATTAAACTTGAACTCCATGGAAGTCTACATTTAATGAGGCTGGGAGGCCACACATACAACTTCCCTGGCATAATTGAAAGGCAGTAATCCAAAGGCCTAAGGAAACAAGAATACTGTAGTGGATATATCATGTATTGAGTACAACTTGCACATGAAACTCTCCACTCCCATAAGAGAGCCCAGTGGGGTTCCCCTCACCAAAGCCCCAGCTTCCTAACTGCAGGGCCCTCTTATTGGGCAAGAGGTTATCAGTCTGGCCCTTTAATACCCTGCCAGGCCTACGAAAGACGAACCTCTCCAATTTCTCTCTCCAGCCCCTTGTTTCCTTCAGGACACTTACTACAAACTACAATTATTTAATCTTCTGGCCTGATTTTTTTGTTTTTTAATTTTTTTGCTTATTTGTCTTCTACCTCCTCCACTGGCATATACATTCTATGAGAACAGGAGCCGCAGCGGTCGTGTCCGCCACTGCATCCTGACTGCCAAGCACCATACCTGGTACCTGGTGTTCAATAAAGATGTGCTAAAGACATAAACAGCATTACTCTGTCTTTGTCAAAGTTAAATTCTGCCCTTCCTTCCCGTGGAATAGATATTATCCTCCCAAAAAGATGGCTGGCGTCTGAATTGAAAACCTCTACAAACTTATAAATCTCCTCTGAATATTTCTTTAGTGCAGAACACATGACCTGGTATGTTGATACCACCTCTCCAGTTAAATTTATATTATGCTCAGAAAAACATTTTTCAAAATTTTCAACACATACAAAGAAACATTCCTCATAATAAAGGTCAATTCAGTGCCTTTACCATCTGTTCCTTCATGAAAATGTTTGTCTTTCTCCAGAATAACATATCTGCCCACAGTCACATGGCACCTAATACCCAAGTTAACCAAATTCTCAAATATCATTAAAGTGTATCATCTGACTCTGAGCAATTTCTGCATGGGCTGGGCACCTGCTGAAAGAGTGTCATCGGGGAGCTCTTCTTGTATCTGTAGTGAGTAGATGCTGGATTCATATCAGAGCATTTCAGATTCAACATTCTTTCATCAAAAGTTTCTATTTTCTGCCTACCAACCTCTACTTCTAGCAACTAGTAGCTTCCATTAACAACCAATTTTATACAAACCATTTTTATCACCACTAGAGCTACTATACACAAGACTACAAATAATCAAGAAAGAAAGAGCATAAAAGTCGAGACAATATTACATTCATCTACTATTTAAGTAGTAACTACCTCGGGCTCATTAGTGTTACAGCTTAATTAAATTTCACACCTTAGCAAAACTGCAAAATACTGTGTGTCTTGGACTGGTGGGGTTGTGTTTACACAGTCAAAACCTTAGAAGTTAAAATACTTAAATGCCAGAGATTGTGTGTGTGTGTGTGTGTGTGTGTGTGTGTGTGTGTGTATGTCTCACATTTGTAAAGATCTGTGTTATCCTGGAGGGTTAGAAAAAATTCCACACACTAATATTAGAAGTCTATAGAGATCTTTTTTTTTTTTAACCTAAAGATGAAGTGCATCTCCGTGCAATCCCTCTGGAAGGACAAAGGGTACAATCATATACCTTAAACTTACATGGCATATGTTAATTACATCGCAATAAATTTGGAAAAAATACAGTGTCAAACAAATCCTCTGTCATCTGAAGATTTGGGAAGTTTATTCATTGGCTACTCAGGGTCAGTTAAAGCAAGGAATCTTAGAAAGTGGTAAACACACATCAAACTGTTTTATTTTAATTTAGACCTTGTGTAAGTGTGATTCTTTCACTGATGGTCTGTATAAAGCCTTATCTTTGAGTTTAGCTGAAATTCTAATAAGAACACACATAATGTATCTTTCATGATGGCAGTTTCAATTCTTTTAAAATGCAGCCAAAACTTCGACACATAGGAACAATCAGCAAATTTCGTCTTGCTTTCTATAATTTGTCCAATATTTTGCATTGCATTTATCCCTACTTTGACAGCCAATTTTGGAAAGAACTCACTTTTTTTTTTTCCTAGAGCATTCAACCTAGTTTTTGCAACAATAATTCCCTTTTTTACACTAATACTGCATCACAGTTTACAGAATATTTAATAGCATGCATCCAGCATAAGTTAGGGAACAAACACAATGGTTCTTAATAAGTAAACAATTTGATTTATTATTGGGGGGTGGTGGTGTGCATAATCCTCCTACTGAGAAGACTGCCAGGGTCACAGCTAGCAGGCTGGAATACCAATCAATATGCTTTACCAGGAAAATGGACAGACTGGCTTATCCATCTGGTGGGTTAGCTAGAAGCCATCTTTGCCGTATCGTAATCCAGCTCTTAAGCACAGCTGGCTAAGAAGAAAGTTCAAGATATCACTTGCATTTATGCAACCTCCTGTTTTTTTCCTCAGCCACACTTAGTCCTATCTATCAGAAATATTTAGAGACAGGGACGTTAAAAGAGTAAAAACAACGATGCAAGAATACTAAATGAAGCAACAGAAAGGAGAGTCAGATGTTTAAGTAGATCATGATAAAATAAGAGAATCTGACTTTTGACAGCAAAAGCTAAATGTCAGTAAAAGACATTTAAAGCAGATTATTCTAAAATAATTTGAAAAAATTGATGTTCCATCTTTAAAACACCCTAACAACATCATGAAAAAGAAGCTTTCTGAATTAGAAATATGTCAGTGCTAGTTATCTGCTTGTAAACATGAAACCTAAATTAGCTGTATTCCTTCTGTAAACATGAAGGGAGAGGGGGGTGCTGGGAGAACTCACTTATTTCATTGGAAACCTGGTTCAGTTTATCCTGTGATCTGCTGATAAGGACAATCTTCATGCCACGCTTTGCTAACTGAAATAATAAAACAGACAGCTCCACTTAACATGATAGAAAGTTTTATGCTCATTTTTTTTTTTTTGCACAAAAATGTATTTTAAATTTGTTTAAGCAAACATGGTATTTCTGACACAGTAGAAACAACATATATCTTTGGTACTTAACATTAGCTTGAGTTTTTAACTTCAAAAATTAAATTTTACTGAAAGACTCTGTCATATTCTTATATTCTTGTATGCCAAAAAAGAAAGAACCTGAAAATTACTTACCTGTTCCGCATATGATTTTCCAATTCCATCAGTGCTACCTGTGACAACTGAGAAAAGAAGAAAAGTAACAGCTTAGATTTAAGAAGTACAATGAAGAACTGATCTTAGTTAGGACCCACCAAATATACACAAGAGGATCTGTTTAATACTTTGATTTAAAAGATGGAGCAGACGTCTCCCTAGTGGCACAGGAGTTAAAGACACAGTGCTATCAAGCTATCACCAGCCACTGCAGCACAAGTTCGAGTTCAATCCTGGGGAGGCCAAGGTGCTGACCCACCTGGCACAGCAGACTCCTGTCTCTCCAGCTGCTCCCCTCAGCAATGTATTTCAGTCAATCTGCCTGTTCTGTTCCCAACTCTGTCTCTGGTGAATCCTCTCACCCCACCACACCCCCATCCCTACCCTACTCCCCAGCTCTTGTATGCATAAATAAATGAATCTTTTTTAAAAAAAAGAAAATCATAATGGGTCAGGCTACATCATGGGATCTTATCTCTGAAATATTGGCAGCAAGTTTGTTACAAATTCAGAGCATGGTTATTTGCTCTGAAAGTTAAGGATAACCCCCGACTCCTCTATGAGTTTTTCCAAACAATTCACAGATTATGGAAAACGAGCAGTTATAAAGTGGGAATTTTCTCATATTTATCCTAAAACCACTTATTTTAAATGACACCAGATGGCTCCAACTTTTAATATTCAGAAATGTAGCAAATACATCAATATTTTCCTAGCCAGATCTTTCACTGGTTCCAGATCACTTCAAGCAAAAGAAACCTCTCTCTTCTAAACACCCACATCTTTTAACTGCACTTCTCTTACAACATTTCCCACTCTCTATTTGGATGTTGTTTTTCTTACGTGTGTACAGGTCTTCATTCTCCTATCAGACACAGGGCTGCCTGCTACGTGATAAACAGAAGTAGGTAGATACTTGCCAAATGCATGAAAGATGCTTAGGATTCAGTTGATTACAAACTATAAAACACGCAAGATATAGACTACTCTCCTGAGAATCTGGTTTCTCAAAGTTCTTCACTTTACAAGTTCACCACCTTATATTCTACACAAGCAACGATCTGCCATTGATCTATCTGTATTACAGAGTCCTTGGTGCCCAGGTAATTCTGTTTACTCTCTACAACTGTGGAGCAAGCAAACCTTATCATCTGATTACAGCAGTGAATCAATGGCACTATCAAATTTCTTGGATGGGAGGTTTAAAAATTCCTTAATAAGGAAACACTCAAGAATTAAACTACAGGGCCTCCCTGGTGGCGAAAGGGGCTAAGACACAGCCTATCAAACAATTTGCAGCCACTGCAGCACGAGTTCGATCCCCGAGCAGGGAGCTACCCACATGGCACAGCAGACCTCTCCTGACTCGCCCGCTGCCCCCCTCAGCAGTGTATTTCAGTCAATCTGCCCGTTCTGTTCCCCACTCTGTCTCTGGTGAATCCTCTCACCCCCCACACTTCTGGCCTGTACCCTAGTTCTTATATGCATAAAAAAAGAAATCTTAAAAAAAAAGAAACTACAATATATGGGTGTGTGTATGTGTAGAAAATACTATATATGTTATGTAACACTGTATAGAACACATCTAAACCAGCATACCATACTTTAAAAACTACCCTGGAAAATCCAGAATATGTTAGGACTGGAGATTATAAAATACGCCCAAGGGATAGCAAGTCTTTCCAGATTCTCCAGCTTTGGGAGTTTGCTGTGGACACTATTTGAAAGCACTGGCCACATTCTCCCTTCCAGCTTAGGGGTACTCACAGTCAACATTTTTTGGCCAGGAGTGTTACTAGCTATCAGTGAATCTCTCCCAGTTAACCGCCCTCAGACAAAGAACCTGTCCCAAGTTACCAACAGCCACCCTACCCCACCCCCACCTCGCCATCCCCGGGCAGTACAGGTCTTCTGACAGCTCTACCCTCCAATCTTCTAGCATCAATATTGTTTGAAAAGTGTCTCACTATTCTGATTTCAGATGACCTGTAAGCAGCCTGTTACTTTTTTTTTTTGTCACTGGGGTTTTTAAGATTATTACTCTTTAGGACTCTGTTGTGCTAACATACCTTAGAGTGGGTGTATTTCTATTCATTGGTAGTAGACATTGGTGGGCCTTAAAATTCATAAACTTCAATTCTAGTAATTTTCTTATAACTATTCCTTTGATGATTTCTTCCCCACGCTTTTGTCTTTTTCTCTTTCTAGAATCGGTATAGTTATCAGATGGACGTAATAGTTTCTCCGTTAATTAGTTTTCTTTTTGTTTGACTTTCCTGGAAATTTCTTTTGCCTTTCATCTTCCAAAAATTCTATTGGCTTTTTAAATTGAAGCTGTCAAATTTTTTAATTTTGAGGAGTTCTTCTTTATTCTGATTGCTCTTGCTCTTTTTGTAAATAGTATCTTGTTCTTATTATAGATCCATTATCTTCTCTTATCTCTGAGGATAATAATTAGATTCTGTCTAGATATTTACATTTTATTCTACAACTGATATTCTGTTTATTCTAAATTCTATTTGATAGTTTGAGTCTGTCTCATATTGAAGGCACTAAAGTAGCAGTAAATGTGCACAGGTATCCCTCTCACTCTTCAGCCATCAGTGGGCCAACCAGCTTTACAACTGGGGAACCCAAAAAAGTCAGTGTCTGTCTGTCTTCTGGGCCCCTTCAGCATCTCTTAAGAGGCATTTCCCCGATTCTCACCTCTGGCAGCTGAGTAGTTGGGCAGCTCTCTTAATCTGTAGGACTTTTTATTCCACAGCCATTCTCAGTCAGGTACCTCTCTCCTCTGCCCTCTCCTGTATCCTAATTTCACCTAAGCACATCTGGCTCAGCATCCTGCCCCATCCCTGTCTCAGGGTACCTGCTGCTTCCAGTTCCTATGCATTTCTGCAGTCCGGGCAAACCTGCTTGCTTCCCAGTGCAGGTGCGCAGTGAGTATCAGGTCTGTGAGCCAGTTCCCACCCTCCACCTCATTTTCCACCACTGGGGAGGAGGGATTTCAGAAGTTCCCCTGGGTCAGCAAAATGGACTTTCTGTTTCTTCTCCTAATTTTTAGAGACTATTGCTAAAAGATAAAAGACTGGAAATACTGTTATTGGGTCATTTGCAAAGTGGATTTTTCCCAAGGTTCCTCTTAAACATATTATGCTAAAGTAGGCTAACTTTAGTTGAGAATGAGATGCTAAGCACACTTCTGGAAAAGATTTGGCTTTATGCTCCCAGAAAGAACATTTTTATCCTATCATCTCCTGCTATTAACTATCAAATTTAGATATCAAATTTAACTATCAGTTTTTAGAAACTATTATGCGAACCACTATGGAGAATACAATGATATGCAAGATCCACCCTGGACTCTAAATGTTCCATAAGCCACTCCTTTCCTGGTCAGGACTTTAAATATTAAGTAGAGACAATATGACCATAAATATTAAAAATTTAGCCTCTGATCCTTTTAGATAAAAACATCACTTTTCTGTATTCTAAAACTTTTCAAAACCAAATTCAGCATCACATAGTTAACATATAGACAAAATATTGCCTCAGAAGTACATTTTTCCGAGAAAACAGAAAGGTACAAAAATTATTTTAGGGGCACAAAGTGGAAAACATGAAATTGAAGACACGGAGCCTTTCTTAGTCTCCTCTATAAAGACTACTATAGTTCAACAATAATCAGAGGTATCTATAATAGCCAGGCATTGGGGAATCAAGTATCCTTTCACCACCAAAGGAAATGATAAATTGTTTAAATCTCTATGTCATATGGCGGGTAATGTTTGCAATAATGTACAACATGACCAAGCCATCTGTCAAACTTCAGTCAATTATACTCAATGCAAAAAATATAAATTTGTTTAAGACACAGAGGAAGAGGACACCAACATGGTCTTGTTTTGCATTTAAAGTTATAATCTTTAGGCCTCCCTGGTGGCACAAGGGGTTAAGTCGCAGCACCCTGAAGCTATCTGTAGCCCATGCAGCACGTGGAATTCGATGCCAGGCCAAGGAGCTGAACCACATGGTACAGCAGACGTCTCCTGTCTCCCCGGCTGCTCCCCTCAGCAGTGTATTTCAGTCAATCCTCCTGTTCTATTCCCCATTCCGTCGCTGGTGAATTCTCTCGCCTCCCACACCTCTGGCCTGTACCCCAGTTCTTGTATGAATAAATAAATCTTTAAAAAATTAAAAATAAAAAAATTAAGTTATAATCTTTGTCTTAAAGCTACGTATCTTCCAACAATAATAGCAGTGATAGCAGCTCCTCTTCAGAAAAACTCTTACTCAAACTCAATAATTCTTTATTTTTATAAAATAATAGTATGAGCCTTACTATTAAAGTAATTATGTATTGTCTGGGGAGTCAATTCTTGATCATTAATTTTAGGCAGCTAATCAGAGCATACCATCTTACATCAAAAAGGGGAGATTGGAGAAAGACAAAGAGATCACAGGCTTTCATTCTTCCTACTGTTGGCATTTTTTAACCATGGATGTGTATTACCTTTCCAAAACAAACATTTAAGGTCTTTCCTACTATGACCAGAAAGATGATGTCAACTGAGCCAGCAAACTCTTCATCTATTTCAGTTTTTTAAAAGTCAATGTGACATTGCTTAAATCAGTGCTTCCAATGGTGATATAGTATTTATTTCCTTACATCTAATTTTTTTCAATAAAATTGAATAGAAAGCTGAATTATTTCATTATTATTTACTTAGTTATTTTGATTATTATAAAATACCATGTTTCAATTGATATAAACAGAATATTAGCGTAAAATATGTATGTGTATTGTAAGTATTCTCAATGTAGTACCTAAGATCATCTCTTGGTTTATGGAAACACTGATCTAAGTAAGCACTGCCACCCTGATAAATGAAGTGAATGCAATGAAATAAAAGTCAGCTCCTAAATCATCCAAATTAGAGGCACTATTAATTTTCTGTGGTTTCTTAAAGATTTGTCTGTTTATGCATACAAGAGCTGGCGTACAGGCCAGAGGTGTGGGCGGTGAGAG